AACCTGACTGTCCAACTGTGTAACAGCTAACTAACCCTAACGACTGACCTCCAGAGCCAGCAGCAGTCCAACGTCTCTCCTCTTTGTCTCTGTTTGTTTCTTCAGCTTCTCTGAAGGAAAGGAATTCAAACAGCTTTGAATTTTAACCTTGTCAGCTTCCAGCAGGCACACCCACCTGCTTCCTGTCTGTTCTTTCAGAATAAAAGCTCCTGCTCAACCTGCTGTACTGGAAACATCTGTCTCCTCCTTTTCAAACATGTGGAAGAGCACGAGTCTGTCCAATCAGAGCAGCTCAGTGAGTTTATAACGTGCAGCAGTGGCTTCAGAGCCTGAGTCACAGCACAGAGTTTTACTTTGGAGGGCCCTGCCTGATTTCCTGTGTGGTTGAGATGAAATTCACATTCAATGTCACATTACTGCCTGCTGTACACACACACACACGTTAGTCATTAACGGGGGGGTCAACATGTGGAAGCAGCTCCTCCAATCAGAGCGCAGCATGTGATTAACACGGTAACCACAAGTATGTCAGAGGGAGGAAACGAACCACATGACCTGAAATCTGTGGACACGCCAATGGCTTCAACGAGTTCCCAGTGCTGAACTTTCTAAGAAGAATGTGGAGCTCAGAGGTCAGAGGTCAGCACACAGATGGCTGCAGGAGGAGGAAACAAACGCGTCTGCGGTTCATTTCAAACATAACGAGGAGCTCGGCGTCCACCAGAGGATCATGCCACATCTCAGCCACACACGGCGCCTCTGGACACTCAGTTTGTCCCAGCTGTCACAGTGCAGGGTCTGGATGATGTCACAGAGAGCGGGTCCCCTGATGCAACATTCAGTTTGGTACAGTGGGCAGACACGCTAACGTGTTCATTTAACCAAAGAAGCCACCTGAAGACATGTTCTGCCAGTCTCAGCCCTTATATGGTCGCCTCAGGCACAGAAGCTCCGCCCCTCAGCTGACTGTCTTCAGGCTTTGGCTGGCATCACTGTCCTCGTGGCTGTGGCCTGGCTCTCCTTCTCTGGAGAGGCTAGACTGGATAAGCACTCCGCTCTGTGACTGTCCGGCTGTAAGTCCCAGTGCGACCGAGGCCGTGCGCACTCGTGAACTAGCATCAGTCAGAGTTCATGTTCTGGTTCACGTCACATCTGCAGCTCGGTGTCACACAAAGAAGCATTGTTTTGAACTGTGACTCATGCTAAGCTGCTCAGAGTCCAACAGTAAGAATGGAAATAAGGGAACTGTGTCATGTGTTGGTTCAGACTGAGCGTGCTCAGAGCGTGAGCTGCAATCACACTTCAGTCCTGAGGTGGCGCTGTGACCGACTCCAGCTAAAGCCGATCAGATCAGCGCTCTCTCTCTCTGAGCCAGGGTCTCTCGCTCCTC